CTTACAGATAGGGAATCACATCAGCTTCCCCCCGACGCACATCTCATATGAAGCTGGTAACGAACATGGGAACAGCAGACAGCAAGGAGACCTCACGCCGTGTCGAGGCTGTCTGCTGTAATAGTCTAGCTATGTCTGATTATGTCTAGATAGATGAGATGAGGGTAGTACAGCGGAAGGCTCTCTCCCCGTCCTCTACTACTTCTCATCACACTGTTGGCTTGCGTATCACTAATAGAATATAGCCACAAGTATGTTAATGAGACACAATATACGATTTATGAGATTTAATTGAGATGTTTCGTTCACCCGGGGCTTTATTAATTCTCCTAATGGAATAGATAAAATCCCTAATGGACGAAACGTCTTCACAATAAATTGTCATAAACAACACACTGTGCCTTCATTAACACACTGTTGGCTAGGGAAAAAATAGCATGTGCGGTTCCATAGTGGGTAAACGTGCATGGATGTTATATAAGAAAGGTGGAGGCGGAGTTGATATATATACTACTCAATAGACCCCTGGCTGTCTTCAAGAAGGCGCTGGACAGGCACCAGCCGGGTTGTGGTTCGTACATCAGTTTGCGTGCGGCCAGCAGTAACAGCCTGGTTGATCAGACCATGATCCACCACAAGGCCTGGTCTCAGACCGGGCCGCGGGGGCGTTGACCCCTGAAACCCTCTCCAGGTAGATATACCACTAACTCTACTGATAACAAACACTATCACTACTACAAACATTACCTACCACTACGAAGGACCCCAATGAAAATACGTCACTTTGTGTGATTTTTTTCTGGGATTGTCCTATGTAATTTACACTACGGTAATTGTACTTATGTATACCTGTGCCTAATAAACTTAATTATTTGCGTTGTCAACAGATGGTTTTGAGGTAGTAAGGGAAGCCCCGTCAGTGTTCCACTGACCGCTGTTAGCCCATGTAGTAGTTGAATCTGGTGTTTGCAAGGGGTTTGTTTTTTAATGGTTGTATGATTTTGTATTTACAACTGTAGTGATGAGCACTGTGTCCCAGTGGTCTAAAACTCTGCAAAATATTCTTTGCTTTGAAGTGTTACGTCGTTTGTTTGGTATGTTCATGTTTGTGTGGTGTTACGTTCTTCATGTTTGTGTGGTGTTATGTTCTTCATGTTTGTGTGGTATGTTCATGTTTGTGTTATGTTCTTCATGTTTGTGTTATGTTCCTCACGTTTGCGTAGTTATGTTCTTCACGTCTGTGTGGTGTTATGTTCTTCATGTTTGTGTGGTATGTTCATGTTTGTGTTATGTTCTTCATGTTTGTGTTATGTTCTTCACGTTTGCGTAGTGTTATGTTCTTCACGTCTGTGTGGTGTTATGTTCTTCATGTTTGTGTAGTGTTATGTTCTTCACGTGTGTGGTGTTATGTTCTTCATGTTTGTGTGGTTATATTCTTCATGTTTGTGTGGTTATGTTCTTCATGTTTGTGTGGTTATATTCTTCATGTTTGTGTGGTTATGTTCTTCATGTTTGTGTGGTTATATTGTTCATGTTTGTGTGGTTATGTTCTTCATGTTTGTGTGGTTATTTTCTTCATGTTTGTGTGGTTATGTTCTTCATGTTTGTGTGGTTATATTCTTCATGTTTGTGTGGTTATGTTCTTCATGTTTGTGTGGTTATGTTCTTCATGTTTGTGTGGTTATGTTCTTCATGTTTGTGTGGTTATTTACTTCATGTTTGTGTCTAGATCGCCTCGTTGCCGTTAACGCTTACAGTATTTCTTCATATTTTCTGTACCCTCTCCGGCTTTATCTTCATCTGTTATGTAATTTGGAGCCAAAACATAACAGATGTAGTCAAAATTGAGTTTGGTGTTTTTGTACTCGAAATCTGTAGCTATGAAACCTAATATTATGTTGTTTTGCTGTTCACTGATCAACATTACTCGGTATATTTAAATTAGCCACTGTATATGACTCCTAGTTCCCGCTACTATTTTAATGGTGATATTAAATTAAATTGCCATTTTATTCATCTTGATTTCATAGCCACAGAATTAACATGTTACGTAAAATATATTTCTAAGGGTTAAAAAAAGTATGTGTAGCTTTATATACGGTTCACAATAATTAGCTTATTTGGAGGACTATAAAAAAATTATATAAAAAATATTCTTGTATTATTTTATAATAAAGAAAAGGCATTAGGCCCTTTTCCCCCTCCCTCTTACCTATTTCACTATTTTTTCTCCAAATTATTTATGACAATGGTCAATATTTTAAACTCACCTCCTCCTCACAGTACTTCATGCATTCCTGGCTGGCCTGCTGCGGGTCGGAACAGTCCACTAGATAAGTTTTATTGGTGGAGAAGGCGAGGTGGTCTGGCCGCCATGTTCGTGAGGTGACGAGGAATAGGCCACACTCACACTGCGCATGTGTCATGGCCACACTTCCAGCCACCATGATTAACATCGCTTGTAACCTTCTTAACCGCATTATCATATCTGCTGCTGCACCTGAAAATTACACATTAACAGGGATTGTGTGATTATCTGAGTCACTCATTTAATTTTTGTATGCACTGATTATTATCTGTTCATGCAGAGATTAATGGGATTAAGTCAGATTGTTTGAATTTATTCGATTATCCTAATACATAATTTATTTACTTAGGCACATAATATGTTGGGGCTCACATATTATATGTCCATAATATATAATCCCTTAAGAAGATTGCAAAAAAAATGCACATTATGTACCAAAAGCCTGAACAGCTACTTACTAAAAACTGATTGATTAAACTGCTCCGTATTGCAATAATAAATATAAGAACATAAGTATACATTTTTCTAGACTAAAATTAGTTTTTATATTAAGTCATAGGAAGGCTGTCAAGAACAGGGAAAGAAAGAACAGTGGTAAAAGAAGATAATGGATAGACAGGAAGAGATAATTATATAAGTTGATTAAGATGACCACTTTAGAAAAGGTTTAAAAGTGATTTTTGTCATAGAGGAACAAGTATTTGGTAAATATTTACAATTATAAGAATAAGTGAAACTATATTAGTAGATAATAATCTAAGCAAACATGACATTTAAATACACAACTGAAAATAAAAATACATTTGATTTTTATTTCCATATTTTATTATTAGTAGTAGTAGTAGTAGAAATATAGGTCTTTAAGTAACAAAAAAAATTGTAATATAACATCAGTATATTATGTATAATATATATTTATCAATGCATAACTGACATTTATTAATATTATAATCGAAGCTTTAACGAATGAATGAAATTCAAAATATTGAGTCGTAACTCAGTAATGCAGTTTCATTAGAATAGGCTTTTGAGTTGATTAAACGCGGCTTTCAGGACCCAGAGTAATAGGGAGGGAAGAGTAGCACCAATTCCTTGAATCAAGAACCTCTTCAAGGGTAGGCTTTAGGTTATATATATATATATATATATATATATATATATATATATATATATATATATATATATATATATATATATATATATATATATATATATATATATATATATATATATATATATATATATAATATATAAATATATATATATATATATATATATATATATATATATATATATATATATATATATATATATATATATATATATATATATAGATATAGAGATATAGATATAAAAGTGTGTATGAGAGATATTTAAACATAGAACATATACAGATATAAAAGTATCGACAGATATGAAATGATGAACTCTGGTATAATGTATATGGTAATTTTAATATTCAGCAGCTCCAACCAGGATTAAGAACCTCAAGATACATCAAACAGTACGAACATCTATGATGGTTGACAGCTTTTTCGTGTGTATGAAATCCACAATGAAAGAACTCAGTTGTAATAAACAGTTTCACTCACCTCATTAATATATGGTATGATTGGTCCTTATCATTATTGTCATCTTAAATAATATTTTCAATATTCATCAATTATCTTTATTAACAGCTATTTAATTCGCTTAAAATACAATTTAAACATCGACATTAAATAGTATATTATACACCGACAGTAAATAATATTGAATTACAGTAAATAATAGAAACTAACAAGATAATATTCTTGATTTTACTGCAAGAACTTGTAGATGTTAATAAAAGCAATAATATTAATATATGAGTAAACATGAGAGCAGCAGCAGCGTTAGGCATGGTGACGAGTGGCAGCAGCAGCAGCAGCAGCAGCAGCAGCAGCGTTAGGCATGGTGACGAGTGGCGGCAGCAGCAGCAGTGTTAGGCATGGTAACCAGTGGCAGCAGCAGCAGCAGCAGCAGTGTTAGGCATGGTGACCAGTGGCAGCAGCAGCAGCAGCGTTAGGCATGGTGACGAGTGGCAGCAGCAGCAGCAGCAGCAGCAGCGTTAGGCATGGTGACGAGTGGCAGCAGCAGCAGCAGCAGCAGCAGCGTTAGGCATGGTGACCAGTGGCAGCAGCAGCAGCAGCAGCAGCGTTAGGCATGGTGACGAGTGGCAGCAGCAGCAGCAGCAGCAGTGTTAGGCATGGTGACGAGTGGCAGCAGCAGCAGCAGTGTTAGGCATGGTGACGAGTGGCAGCAGCAGCAGCAGCAGCAGTGTTAGGCATGGTGACCAGTGGCAGCAGCAGCAGCGTTAGGCATGGTGACGAGTGGCAGCAGCAGCAGCAGCAGCAGCAGCAGCAGCAGTGTTAGGCATGGTGACCAGTGGCAGCAGCAGCAGCAGCAGCGTTAGGCATGGTGACGAGTGGCAGCAACGGCAGCAGCAGCGTTAGGCATGGTGACGAGTGGCAGCAGCAGCAGCAGCAGCAGCAGCAGTGTTAGGCATGGTGACCAGTGGCAGCAGCAGCAGCGTTAGGCATGGTGACGAGTGGCAGCAGTAGCAGCAGCAGCAGCAGTGTTAGGTATGGTGACGAGTGGCAGCAGTAGCAGCAGCAGCGTTAGGCATGGTGACGAGTGGCAGCAGTAGCAGAAGCAGCGTTAGGCATGGTGACGAGTGGCAGCAGCAGCAGCAGCAGCAGCAGCAGCAGCAGCAGTGTTAGGCATGGTGACCAGTGGCAGCAACAGCAGCGTTAGGCATGGTGACGAGTGGCAGCAGTAGCAGCAGCAGCAGCAGTGTTAGGCATGGTGACGAGTGGCAGCAGTAGCAGCAGCAGCGTTAGGCATGGCGACGAGTGGCAGCAGTAGCAGCAGCAGCGTTAGGCATGGTGACGAGTGGCAGCAGTAGCAGCAGCAGCGTTAGGCATGGTGACGAGTGGCAGCAAGAGCAACAGCAGCAGCAGCAGCGTTAGGCATGGTGACGAGTGGCAGCAGTAGCAGCAGCAGCGTTAGGCATGGTGACGAGTGGCAGCAGCAGCGTTAGGCATGGTGACGAGTGGCAGCAGTAGCAGCAGCAGCGTTAGGCATGGTGACGAGTGGCAGCAAGAGCAACAGCAGCAGCAGCAGCGTTAGGCATGGTGACCAGCAGCAGTGTTAGGCATGGTGACGAGTGGCAGCAACAGCAGCAGCAGCAGTGTTAGGCATGGTGACCAGCAGCAGTGTTAGGCATGGTGACCAGCAGCAGTGTTAGGCATGGTGACGAGTGGCAGCAACAGCAGCAGCAGCAGTGTTAGGCATGGTGACCAGCAGCAGTGTTAGGCATGGTGACCAGCAGCAGTGTTAGGCATGGTGACGAGTGGCAGCAACAGCAGCAGCAGCAGTGTTAGGCATGGTGACCAGCAGCAGTGTTAGGCATGGTGACGAGTGGCAGCAACAGCAGCAGCAGCAGTGTTAGGCATGGTGACCAGCAGCAGTGTTAGGCATGGTGACGAGTGGCAGCAAGAGCAACAGCAGCAACAGCGTTAGGCATGGTGACGAGTGGCAGCAACAACAGCAGCAGCAGTGTTAGGCATGGTGACCAGCAGCAGTGTTAGGCATGGTGACCAGTGGCAGCAACAGCAGCAGCAGCAGCAGTGTTAGGCATGGTGACCAGCAGCAGTGTTAGGCATGGTGACCAGTGGCAGCAACAGCAGCAGCAGCAGCAGCGTTAGGCATGGTGACCAGTGGCAGCAACAGCAGCAGCAGCAGCAGTGTTAGGCATGGTGACCAGCAGCAGTGTTAGGCATGGTGACCAGCAGCAGTGTTAGGCATGGTGACCAGTGGCAGCAACAGCAGCAGCAGCAGCAGCGTTAGGCATGGTGACCAGTGGCAGCAACAGCAGCAGCAGCAGCAGTGTTAGGCATGGTGACCAGCAGCAGTGTTAGGCATGGTGACCAGTGGCAGCAACAGCAGCAGCAGCAGCAGCGTTAGGCATGGTGACCAGTGGCAGCAACAGCAGCAGCAGCAGCAGTGTTAGGCATGGTGACCAGCAGCAGTGTTAGGCATGGTGACGAGTGGCAGCAACAGCAGCAACAGCAGCAGCAGCAGCAGCGTTAGGCATGGTGACGAGTGGCAGCAACAACAGCAGCAGCAGTGTTAGGCATGGTGACCAGTGGCAGCAGCAGCAGCAGCGTTAGGCATGGTGACCAGTGGCAGCAGCAGCAGCAGCGTTAGGCATGGTGACGAGTGGCAGCAACAGCAGCAACAGCAGCAGCAGCAGCAGCGTTAGGCATGGTGACGAGTGGCAGCAACAACAGCAGCAGCAGCGTTAGGCATGGTGACCAGTGGCAGCAACAGCAGCAGCAGCAGCGTTAGGCATGGTGACCAGTGGCAGCAGCAGCAGCAGCGTTAGGCATGGTGACCAGTGGCAGCAACAGCAGCAGCAGCAGCGTTAGGCATGGTGACCAGTGGCAGCAGCAGCAGCAGCAGCAGCGTTAGGCATGGTGACCAGTGGCAGCAGCAGCAGCAGTGTTAGGCATGGTGACCAGTGGCAGCAACAGCAGCAGCGTTAGGCATGGTGACGAGTGGCAGCAACAACAGCAGCAGCAGTGTTAGGCATGGTGACCAGTGGCAGCAACAGCAGCAGCAGCAGCGTTAGGCATGGTGACCAGTGGCAGCAACAGCAGCAGCAGCAGCGTTAGGCATGGTGACCAGTGGCAGCAACAGCAGCAGCAGCAGCGTTAGGCATGGTGACCAGTGGCAGCAGCAGCAGCAGCAGCAGCGTTAGGCATGGTGACCAGTGGCAGCAGCAGCAGCAGTGTTAGGCATGGTGACCAGTGGCAGCAGCAGCAGCAGCAGCGTTAGGCATGGTGACGAGTGGCAGCAACAACAGCAGCAGCAGCGTTAGGCATGGTGACAGTGGCAGCACACAGCAGCAGCAGTGTTAGGCATGGTGACCAGTGGCAGCAACAACAGCAGCAGCAGCGTTAGGCATGGTGACGAGTGGCAGCAACAACAGCAGCAGCAGCGTTAGGCATGGTGACGAGTGGCAGCAGCAGCAGCAGTGTTAGGCATGGTGACCAGTGGCAGCAACAGCAGCAGCAGCAGCGTTAGGCATGGTGACGAGTGGCAGCAACAACAGCAGCAGCAGTGTTAGGCATGGTGACCAGTGGCAGCAACAACAGCAGCAGCAGCGT